GCGGTCGGCCAGGGCCATGGCCTTCACCTTGGGCGTCACGTCCACCACGTCCTTTATAGGAGACATCTTCTGCAGCGGGCACTGGTCAGGTCACAAGCAACACTGTTAACCCAATCACTTTGCACCGATTATCAACCGGTTCTGGTTTCTTTGAGTGAACTTTAACATCACGAAATGCAACAGAAATAAAACATTTTTGCAATTGCAATTTTAAATAGACATTTGTGTATACAAAATAGAACAGGTTGAATTTGGTAATTTATTGCAAGAGATTGCAAAAAATAAATACAGAAAATTTCCCATGTCCTCAAAGGGTAGCAGATCACCATTAGCAAGAGAAAAATAGGGAAAAAAAACTGCTTTACTCTCACTCAGGATTTGATTTCTGAGGATTTCATATCACAGTAGCTCTGATCCTCCTCTGAGTGACTTCATGCTGAGTAATGTTAGAGCTGAATAATCTGAGTGAGTTCTAGACAACTATTGTGAACCATCCATCATCAGATTATCAGATTATGAACGCCTGCATGGTCCATCATAGATTATTTTGCTGGGGACGCTATGAACACCGCTGAAGGACCCAACTTCAGACTCACCTTCTGGTTGATGGACAAGAAGTTGACATAGGGTTCCTCCATTGGCAGCAGGAAGACGAGGGCGTTGCCATGGTTACCGATACGCCGTTCTCCGCATCGATGCACAAAAGCACTGATGGGAAAAAAAAAAGAGCAGACAGGGAAAAATGGTTGGAGCCAAGTAGTTAGAAAGTAACATTGTTTTAATGTTTAAGCCAATAAAATAATTCATTCTGCAACATATATATATTGTTTTAAAAAGGACAACTTCTGTTTGTGTTTTTTTTAAACTAACTGCACCAACCTGGCGCTGCTGGGGATCGTACTGCAGAACCCAGTTCACATCGGGATGTCGATGCCTCTGGCCATGACGTCGGTGCACACCAAGATCCCACTGCAACGTCACAACACGTTTAAAAAAACACGTGACAGCACAGACTTACTGCGGGGCGGGGGCGGATTTCTACCTCTTTAAGGCCCTGAAGTCTGAAAAAATACCGCTGCGCTTATTTTTCATCTTGCCGTGGATGCAGAGGATGGTGACCTTCTTGACCAGCGACTCCAGGGCTCGGCCGAAGTACTCCACACAGGCGCAGGTGCTTTTAGAAGCAACAAGGACAACGGGTAAGAGAAAACGTGTGCATGCATAACCAGGAACAAAACAACTAGCTTACCACTACTTTACTGTTGGAAATGGGGGAAAAGAAGTTTACATTTATTTAATCCTGCCCCTTATCTCAGTTTATGAAATGTGTCGCTTCCAGATGCATTAATTTGCAGGAACTTGTTAATCAGAACATATGTTGGTGTTAATATGTGATCAATTAACTATTCTAAAGAACCTACACATAATAATATTACTATTAATGACTAAAGAATAACTGCGCATACAGCATCGGAATGATTACAGACACCTTGATAATGTAGATCATGTAGTATATCTGTCTTATATAACAAAACGCTAATGATGACAATAATGACACTAAAATAATAATCATCTAATGATGACAATAGTAAAACAGAAGGAAGGAAGAAGACTACCTTCTGCTAAATAGTGCAGAAATATCAAGTGATTTCTTATCATTCAAAAACTGATAAAATGTGAATCTGTATGAGGGCTGCAACTCACAATTGTTTTTAGTGATTGATTAAACATTCTAAATAAAACACAACCAGAAATTAAAAAAAACATTAAACCAAAACAAAAACCACAAATGAATGAACCCAATCAAACCTGAAGAAGACCAGCTGCTTCTCATGCTTGTGTTGCCTTAGAAAAGCCACCAGGTTGTTGAACTTGTCCTGTGCTCTGCACATCTGAAAGGACAGCACACGATTGTGATTTGTCGTCGCCGTCTTCACTTCGTGGGCTGAACGGCGGGCTGTTCGCTCCGTCACTCACGTGTAGTAGTTGGAGAGGCGGGCCGGGGTCTTCTGGGTGGCCGAGGCGGCCTGACCCTTCTCTTTGACCGTGATGCGGACGGGGTTCCTGAGGCCGGCCCTCACCAGCTTCTCCAGCTCCTGGGTCTGGGTGGCTGAGAAGAGGCCCGTCCGTCTCTGTTTGGGCAGGTAGCTCAGGATGCTGTTCAGGCTGGGGGGACGTGGGAGGGAATGGGGTGAAATGCAGAACAATCAGGAGCAACTTGATTGGCTAGGAGCAGATTTAGTTCAAAACCAAGAGAATAAAAAACAAACAAACCAATAAACACATCCAGACTGTATTTGAAACTACATGGTTACTGAAGGTTTCACCAACTCAAATTTAAGACTTTTTAAGACCATTATAAATTAAAGACCTGGATAATGACAGAAATGTAATAAAGATGATAAATGTTCAGCAAATTTGCAATTGATGGTTATAAAAAAGCTAGTTGTCAGCAGCTAGTTACTAGTAGCTTGTCTGGTAATCTTGTAGACGATGTATGCAAACCACTCAAACTTTTGCCTGACAGAAATGTTGATTAATGTAATTGAGGCAAATTGCATGTTTTTTTAATGTTCACACTGTATTATTAATACAGGGTTACTGCAGGTTTCATCAACTCAAATTTAAGACTTTTTGAGACCATTATAAACTAAATTTAGGAATGCACATAAGAGATAAATTTATACCTCCCCATGATGAGCTTGCTAGTTAGCAAGGGCGTATATATTGACAGCTAGTTACTGATAGCCACAACCACCTTGAGTCACGGAGCACAATGAAAATGTGTGCAGGTAACTCAAACTTAACCTGACAGAAAATTAGTGCAAGAAAAAAAAATACATAGAATATAACATTAAACAGTCCTGCCACAACACATTAAATGACTTTAAGACATTTTAAGGCCTTAATTTTAGATACATAAATTTAAGACTTTTTAAAGGTGTGCACTCATCCTGGAATAGGATCTTTCCTCCATCCTGACTGTAAAATGTTTCCTGCTGATTCGTACCTGGCCTCAAAGCCCATGTCGAGCAGCCGGTCAGCTTCATCCAGAACCAGAACATCCAGGCTCCTGACTGCGCTGGCCAGTTCCAGCCCCTCTGACTTCCTCCTGAACATGTCCTCCAGGCGGCCCGGCGTCGCAATCACAATGTTGCCGCTGAAAAAAAAAAGTGAAACGAACGTTACAGCACGACAATCGCTTTCTAACATGTTCCCAACTAACTCTGAGGACTACAGCGCTAATCTTAAACATTAATTCAGCTAATACTAAAGTGCTATAACAAGGTGGTATTTAGCAATAGCTAATGCTAAAGTGGCTTAACAGGATATTTAGCAGAAGTTATTGCTAAAAATGTCTGTCAAGATTTAGGAGAACCTAATGCAGTATAACAAGAGGGTATTTAGCACAAGCTAATGCTAAAGTGGTAAAAGAAGATGGTATTTAGCACAAGCTAATGCTAAAGCAGTAAAACAAGATGGTATTTAGCACAAGCTAATGCTGAAGCAGTAAAACAAGATGATATTTAGCACAAGCTAAAGCACTACAATAAGATGGTATGTCGTGGAAGCTAATGCAGTAAATGCTGTTACCCGATGTGTGTTACAACACAGACTATTGCTCTCAACAATGAGCGATAGTTGACACGCAGGTAAGTGGCTATTATGACACACCTACCTGTATGGTTGCTCTTGAGAAAGTGATTCTTTGGAACAAATGTTTTCAATGTTAGCAAAAAACTCTAAGGAGCTAAACAAAACATCAGGTCCCTATTAGTGGATTAATTGTGTTGCCACCACTGGGATACAGCTTTCATTTTTTTAAAAAATTTAAAATATTTGCCCTCGGTTACTTATTAAAATGAAAACTTTACTCAGAAGCATTTTGTTCAAATGATGAAGTCTAACAGAAGAAAGTGATACACCATTAAAACAGAGGAAGTCTATTTATTGCCAGCTTTTCATCCAGTTAAAGTCGGACTGAAATCCGTCGCGTACCCATGCTCTTTAAACTTCTCCACGTCTTCTGCCGGGTTGCTGCCACCAATCAGCAAAATCTGCCTGAGAACCAAAAGGTGAAATTGATTATTGAGTGCAAATTGATAAAAAAAAAAAAAAAAATGCCTGTAGTTAAATCTGCCAGCTCAGTTTGAAACAATTCCAATCTACAATATTTGACTCTGTGGAGTTTTTTTTAATTTTTATATATAGATACTCACGTGAACTCTGGAAACTTCTGGATAAACATTCCCATCACTTCACTGATCTGCAGGGCCAGTTCTCGTGTGGGAGTGATCACCAGAGCACCGACCTGCACAAAACACCTGAACTTTTCAGCGGATCCGACACAACAGCAAACCTCCCAGCATCCAAAAAAAGATAAATAACAATACTGCAGAGACTAAAGTAGCCGTGTTTTTTTGCTTCGGTGTCATGGTTACCTGTTTCTTCTTGAGTTTCTCCTCGCGCTTCAGCAGCAGCTCTATAACAGGAATGACGAAAGCCAAAGTCTTCCCACTGCCGGTGACCTGAAGCAAAACAGCAAACGCCTTAAGAAACTACCGGTTGTCATGGCAGCACAACTTCCTGATCTTTTCCAAATAACTGTTTTTGCATAATTTTGATAATTACAACACCTCTATATCCTCAGTTTTGACCATCTATCATATTTAATATCTACTGTTGGATCCAAGGTGAATATTGATTCAGCCGCCAGCAGAGGGAGCCAAATCACGTTAAACACACAGAGCAACTTCAAAGCATCTCTTGAACGTTTCATATTTTGTCATGTGACCATAAACCTTTATAAATTTCATTCAGATTTCGGTTAGATAAAAAAAGTCCATCATTCTGAATTTTTGCAGCTGAAAATCTGATAAGTGTGGCATGCACTTATTCACCCTGCTTGAGTTAAAACTTTGTAGGACTTTGAAGAACAATAGCAACTGCAAGCCCTTTAGAGGATGAACCTGTCAGCTCTGCACATGCGCAAACTGAATTCTTCTGTCCGATTGGATACAGAGCGTCTACGAACAGGCCTGTTCCAACTTTTTGTCCTAATAAGAAAGTGATTCAAATGACCACTACTGCTGTGAGTTTATCATCATCATCATCATCATCATCATCATCACAGCGCTCCTTCATCAGATATACTTCCTTCATGACAGAGACATCGCAGATGTTTTTGGTACCTTGTACTTATTCATTTGTCATTTTTGTAACAACTCGCTCAACACATTCGACGTCTCCTGGATCACGTTAGCTTGGATTTCTTCGTGACCCAGAATCAACGTGTCAGTAAATCCTACTGGTTCAGTTCTAGTTCTTGCTCCGTCTCGGCCTCTTTAAACAACTTGTTCACACTCACCGCCTCAGCAGCAACGTCTTTATTGTTCATGAACAGCGGAATACAAGCCGACTACAACGAAAAGAGATCCATCAGTCAGACAGGTGGAGATTCAGGCAGCATGGATTGAAACAAGGATTTAAGGCTATGAAAGTTACCTGTACAGGTGTCATGAAGGTAAATTTCATTTCCTCAAGCGTTTGTAAAATCTTCTCGTTTAGTTGGACAGGTAAAGTGTCCCATGTTCCGTCTGTAATGTTCTCCATGTTGGGAAGTAAATCGAGAAGACGTAGCAGCAGAATGCTAACGCCGTTAGCACATGGTCAGCCTTTCTGCACGATGGACCTTCTTCCGCTGCGTTCCGTAGTTGTTTACACGCCGGGGAGAAACTGAAGCCGACTCGCATGTTTTGGTTCCGCTTTCCACTCCGTTGTTCTGTCTTCTTCTTTTGTGTTTTATTGGCAAATGGCAACCAACTTAAGGTGACTTTACCGCCACATACCGGACTGGAGTGTTGTCATCAACGATACAGAGGGAATTTAACAATACGCACCTCAATGGTGTGTAGAAGTGTGCAAATTCATACACACACACGCGCGCGCATACACACATAACCCCCCCACACACTTTTAAAAACGATTAAATAACCTAATAGTTTTTTAAAATCTAATTAATTGATTTCTTATAGATTTTGATTCGTTTCCTAAAATATTTATCAGAAAATCCCTTCTTCTCTCTTGTATTGACTTTAAATGCTGACGTCCCTCTGAATATTTATTACATTCTAATTAGACCTGTCCCACTGCCTCCATCTGACTGCAATAATCACAAGTCCTCGTTTCATGTTTCTCTTTTCAAAAAGAGAACTATTAAGTCCTGCATGCCCAGTTCTAAATTGTGACATGAATTCTTCTTTCCAACTTCCCCATTTGTTGTTCTTCTTCTTCTACATTCTTACTTTTATTTGGTTTTCATGCAAGCATTTAACTTCCACATCAAGGCTGCTGTTACATGAGAACCACTGTTTTCTAGTAAATTTTCAAGTCATACTCAATATTTAATAATTGTAATATTAAAATTATTTTTTTTCTTCAATGACTCCAAATCAGAGTGAAGCTGTTCATTTTTATTGAATTTGAACCTTTTGATATTATTTTTGCTTTTTGTTGTTGTTAAAATGTAGTATTTTTCTTCTATAGCTTCTGGGTCATGTGACCCATTTACACTGAATCAGTGTGAAATTGTTCTAGAGTCAGTCAGGAAATAACAGAAATAATAGAAAAACAGAGTTTCTTTTATTTTAACCCACAGATTATAAATGACAAAAAGATAAACTCAACTCATAAAAGAGGTCAAAGAACCTCTTTAGTATCTTCCCCATTTTAGGTCTTCTTGCATTTTTGATGTTAATTTTGCCAATCATATTTGGTTTTTAGTAGCTCACCTGTCCTACTGACAAGGACTAAATGTTTCAATGGAATAAAAGCAGGTGAGCCTCATCTTCAAAGTCTAGTAGAACAATTTCACACTGATTTAGTGCAAATGGGTCACATGACCCAGAAGCCAAAGAAAAATACTACATTTTAACAAAAAGATGCTAAAATATCAAAAAGGTTCAAAGGCAATAAAAACGAGTGCACTTCATCTCACGAGTTAAGAACCGTTTCACACTGATTTTGAGTCAATAAGGCACATGACTCGGAAGCTATTTGAAGAAAAAAACAACACTTTTTAATATAACAATTATTAAAAATATTGGGTATGACTAAAAATTCACTAGAGAACAGAGGGTCTTGTGTAACAACATGAATTCTGTGTCAGTTGGTCACAAGGCAAGAAATCTATTTACTATTTCTATTTGTTTCTTTGGAGTGTTTGGTTCGGAAATTTGTTGAACCTCTGAGTGCATGAGGATGTAGCTGACGCGTGACTGTCGTCCGTCTGATATGATATATATATATCATATCAGATATATGATATATCAGCAGCAGTTATTTGCATGCATCAAATAACTGCTGCATGCATAATAACTGCTGCTGATATATCATATATTATATCAGATATATATCAGCAGCATGCATATAACTGCTGCTGATAACAGCTGAGGACTGAAAAATGGAAGGTCTGACACACACACACACACACACACTTTAAGTTTACCAGATGCCACTTGCAGCACCTGAGAAGAGTTTAAAAACTGACACACAGCCTGTTTAAAATGATCAAATTGGTGAAAAAAAGCAGAACTTGTGACTTTTGTTTGGTTGTGTGGCATGCAGTGGTTTATGTGAACATTTAGTGGTTTGTGCCCACTGCAGGCTCAGAAGATAACAGTCTGCAGTAGAGTCTTGACGTGCTGACTTCTCTGTCTCTCAAAACATTTGATTCATAAAAATAAAACACAAGAGCTTCTCCACACAAATGGGGACCACTTGGTTTGCAATTTGGAGTGTTTGGATCTTCTTGCGGCAGGTACGAAGTTTTCTCTCCTTTAATTTTAACACTTCTCCATTTCTTGTTTTTTTTTAAGTGTCTCTGTTATTTTGTGTTTTATAGGTGACAGTTAAAAGTAGTAAACATGTATGACATGCACAAAACAACGTTATTTACTATTGTTTTGTTATTGAAAAATGTTACATTTCCATCAATGTAAGAAACCTAACTTGAGGCATCACAGCTCGGACAGTTTCGCTACGTCTGGGTCTCAAACTGCGTTCCTCCAGGGCCGGTTTCCTTCACCTCTGCTTCACACACCTGGCTCAAACATGCACTCATCAGCAGAACTTTGTAGAGCTGGACTGAATGCTAATGAGGCAGTTTGACCATTTAATTAAAGAATGTAGTACAAGGAACAAATGTAAAAGTTGCAGGGTTCTGGCCCTTTCTAAATGCAATTTGAAACAATCTGCTTAGTGCAGGACAGATCTTAACATGCTCTTATTAATGACATTGATTTAGGGCGTATGAAATCAAACTGGAGTGAAAAATTTTCAGCTCAAAATTTGCATATTGCATGATACTTCACTATTTTCTGTTGAACATTTTAACAGACAAATTGATCTACAAAACAATATTTATTACATTGTTGAAAAGTGGCGCACTTGGTAGCACTGTTGCCTTGAAGCAAGAAAGTCCTGGGTTCGATTCCCGGCCTGGGATCTTTCTGCACAGAGTTTGCAGAAAGACGTGACTGTCGGGTAAATTGGTCTCTCTAAATTCCCGAGGTGTGTGTGTGTGTGTTTGTCCTGTTTATTTCTGCGTTGCTGTATCTCGCCTCTCACCAGCAACTCCCGGCCTCATTAGGGACAGAAAATGGATGGATGGAGTGAAAAATGTGAAATTTCCAACAATGTATAAAACTGTTGAGACCATACAATAGAAATTAGCCGTTAAAATAAACATATTTCTTCTCCTCTTCTAGACTGCAGCTGCAGAGGAATCACCATCTCAGCCTGGATTTGAGTCAGAGATGTTAATATTAAAAGTGAGCAAAAAAGCCTTGGAAACTGGCACAGACAATCATCATATTGGAGACAGTGTGAGTGTCTTTTCTTTCATTTTTTATTTTTACATCATGTGACACACACATTTAATGAAAATTAGCCAAACAAACAGACAATATAGTGGACAAAAAAGCAGCATTGTGAACTGTTTCTCATCATCATAGTAACAGGATTATGAGATTATTTTGATACTCGTCTTCAGGGGCCCTTGAGGGCCAGATTGCACCCTGGTTTCATCATTCACCAGACCTTCACAGGTCGGTTCAGTCATTTACAGACAGAATATTTGTTTCCTTAGGATCCAGCTGGTCCTCAGATCCCCGTCCTGGATTTCACTAAATCCAGTCCAGGACTGAAGAGGAGGAAGAGAGACTGGGTTATCCCTCCCTTAAACATTGCTGAGAATCTAGAGGACCTTATCCTTGCATATTCATGAGGTAACAGGAACAAAAATGTTATACAGTTTTTTTAAGATGTCAGAAACATTTCCTGCAGTGTATTTTCCTCTTTATTTATATCATATGTTTGTAATGTGCAATTACAAACTTTCTACATTTCATTTTGTGTTTAGTAAAACTGAATTTGGCTCCAAAGTGAAAAAAAGTGTTTCTGGCCTGTATCTTTTATACCAGAAATAACATAGAATAAATGCTTCAATTAAAACATCTCTTAAGTTAAGTTAATCAAAAGACATTTGTATCCCACAATAATTTTCTGTTCACTGAACAGTTTTTGCTAATTGTTGTCTTTGAAGTTGTCTCTATTCAACCCTGATTTTTGTTGTCCAGATACGCTCTGATGCAGACAATGTGAGGAGGCTCTATTATAGCATCACTGGTCCTGGAGCAGATCAGCCTCCTATTGGTCTTTTCACCATGGACAGAGACACTGGTCGTCTGTATGTCACACAGGAACTGGACAGAGAGAAACAGGACAAGTACCTGGTCAGTGTTTTCTCTGCTATCTGTTGGGTGCCTCATCCACACCAGTCCTGTTTCGCCACCGTAATAGAACTAGAAAGTCCAGCTGGTTTGGGATCGTGTGAATGTGCAGTCAAACTCTGATGCAGACCAAAAAAAAAAAGGAGAAATCAAGAGCCCAGAAACCTCAGACTCAGTTCTGATGAAGTGAACTCTGGTACAGTTTGAATTCACATGTGAATGCCAACCGGACCGGAGGCCTCTTAAAAAACATGAAGCAGAGTGTAGCGCAGAGTATTCTGGGTAACACAACTAAAATAGTTGAAACTAGTAATAGTTATTTTATGAAATCATCATCAAATAGTTTCATTATTTGGTTCATGTATTAGAAGATCTTTTGCCAAAAACAAAATAGAAATCCTCCAAGCATTAAAATCTGACGCTGCTCCATTTTTGTGAAGAAGGAAGTTGAGCTCAGCGTCTTCTTCAGAGGTTTTTATGTTGACTGTAAAGAGGATTCAGTAACTCAATCTGTCACAGAATACTTCACTGTAATTATTGAAAACTTTTTAGAATATTAAGTAGTTTTAAAACCTACACAGAAATGTATTCAGTAAAAACCAAATTATTTTTTCATCATTATGAAAGAAGAGAGACACAATATAATTGTTCTGGTGATTAAAAAAATGGCATCATGTTACAGCTCACAGTCCATGTTACGACAGAGGAAGGTGCAACTGCAGAGGAGCCAATGGAAATTAAAATCAATGTAATTGACCAGAATGACAACAAACCTGTTTTCAGTCAGTCCATCTATGAGGGAGAAGTTCCAGAGGCGACACAAAGAGGTAAAGTCACACACATTAACGTCTTTGTTCACATGTGTAGATATAAGTGCATTAATGTAATCTTATTTAAAATCACAAATATTTGCAACTTTTAGCCTTTGTGACCTGAATCAGCTGCAGACCGAGGAGGAAACTGAGGCTGAATGACCTCCTCAGTCTGCAGTCACGTTCTCGGTCTTTGTTCAGCAGATGAACTCGTTGTGCCTCAGCCACAAGGAGACCGTTTCAGATTTATCCGCAAGTTTTTTTTGTTTTATTCTGTTGTCCACACGGATTCGGCTTTTTGAGAGACCAGAAGAGATCATTTCTGAAAGAGGGTTCCAGAGTGGATCGGTTTCATATTTCAGTGTATACTTGTGAGCTGAGACTTTTTTTAAATTTTTTAACTATGACTGCTGAAGGGCTGCACAGTGGCGCAGTTGCCTTGCAGCAAGAAGGTCTTGTGTTCGATTCCCGGCCCGGGGTCTTTCTGCAGGGAGTTTGCATGTTCTCCCTGTGCATGCTGGGTTCTCTCCGGGTTCTCCGGCTTCCTCCCACAGTCCAAAAACATGACTGTCAGGTTAATTGGCCTTCCCAAATTCTCCCTAGGTGTGAGTGTGTGTGTGCATGGTTGTTTGTCTCTGTGTTGCCCTGTGACAGACTGGTGACCTGTCCAGGGTGAACCCCGCCTCTCGCCCGGAACGCAGCTGGAGAGGCACCAGCACCTCCCGACCCCGATAGGGAGAAGGGGGACGGAAAATGGATGGATGGGTTGCTGTAGCTCTCTTTGGATCCCACAATGAGCTCACTTTTATGAGTAACATGGTGACGTTCAGTGTTCTTTTTTTTGTCGTTCTGTGACAGTGTTAGAGCGCCACCGATTGGCTTGGCATACCCTCTATGGTGTATGCTACACACTTTTTTCTCTCTCTCTCTCTTTTTTTTTTTTTTTTTTACAAAACTTCTCACACTGATTGTGGCAAGCAACAAGATAGTTGGCAGTTGGACAGAGGTCTTGGTTCTGGTTCTGGTCTGTATACCCAGAACCAAACATGGAGAAGCAGCATTCAGCTTCTATGCAACACAAATCTGGAACAAACTTCCAGAAAACTGCAAAACAGCTGAAACACTGAGTTCCTTTAAATCGAAGACAATTTATTTAGAGATAAATATTCATTAATGTGCAATTTTAGCCTTTCCAACTTTTCTTTGTTTTCCCGCATTATATCACTGAAGTGTATTTATCTAAACCATGTAAAGCTCTTTGAATTGTCTTGTAGCTGAATTGTGCTACAAAGCTAATCCTGCCTCACCTATCAAACTCAGCAACAATTTAAATACAAATAGAAAATCTGCCATCATCTCAGTTGATGTCACTGTGATGACTTTTAGTGATTTGTCAAAATTTAGAAAGACCTTTGACCTGAGTTTAATGGAACTTGGAATCATCAGCTAGACAAGAAGAGCTTCTCAGCTCAGCCTCATTGTTAAATCTCTGTTGATAAACTGATGTCTCTGCTCTCACTGACCTGCTTCGTGTTTCCTCTTGATTAGGTTTTAAGGTGATTCAGGTCGTGGCCACCGATGCTGATGCACCAAATACTGACAACTCTGATATCAGGTACTTTATAATGAGCCAGAGCCCAGAGCAGCCCAGTCCCAAATGTTTACCATCAACCCATCAACTGGAGACATCATAGTTAAAGAAGCTGGACTGGACAGAGAGGTGGGAATTCAGTTAATCAATGAATCAATCAACTACATCTGTATAGCACATTTCAAAGACTGTTAGGGTAGTCTGAGTGTCTCACTAAGTCCTCACGGTCAGATTTCCTGTTGATAACATGGAGCTTTACATTTTGGTCGGAATTCAACCTTCATGTGGAGAATAATTTAATTCACTAAATAAGGTTGAGGCAAGTTTTATAAAACTCACTTCAGATTATTTCTCCCAACATGTGATGCAGTGATCAGCCAACTGATCCATCAAAGTTTTGCTCTGGACTTAACAATTTGTCGCTCGGAGGCAAAGTTGTTGATTCAAGTCCATGTTTGTTACAACAGAAAATCCCTCAATACAAACTGAAAGTAAAGGCAGCCGACATGAAAGGAGAAGGTAAGACTGGATTTGCCGAAGTGATCATCAAGGTGACGGACGGCAACGATCACGATCCGGTCTTTACAGAACCTTCTGTAAGTAGAACACGTGACTACTTTTATTAATCTGCTGATTATATTTAAATCTGTTTATCAGAATCGATTTGTGCAGTAGGTGACCAGTAAAGCAGTAGATCACCCTGAATGCTATTGGCGTGTCCATGAAATGAAAAACAAATCACAAACTGATAATCGATGATCATACAATGACTGTGTGGAACTTTTTCTGGTGACGTCTGCATCTTGTGTCTCAGTACACGGCCACAGTTAAAGAGAATGAAGTAGACGCTCTAGTTGTTAAGCTGTCGGTGACAGACGGGGATGAGCCTCATACTGCAGCCTGGAAGGCAAAGTTCAGCATTATTGATGGAGATCCACAAAACCTTTTTACTGTGGAAACAGGAACAAACAAACAGGAAGGAATCATCACTACTGCTAAGGTAGGACGACCAGCAGGTTCTCACTGCTGGAGCATAAATAATAAATGTGATTCTTTATTGCACTGTTTTTAATAAAGGGACATTTTTATAAACATAGCATAGTTAAGTGATTGTACTGCTAATGTCTGATCAGTTGATCTGAGATGATTTTTCTTTTACTAAACCAGAGTCTGGACTTTGAGAGATCCAGTAAGCACACTCTACTGGTCAGAGTGGTGAACGAGGCTCCTTTTGCTCTTGTTTCATTGGTCACTTCCACTGCCACAGTGGTGGTGACTGTGTTGGATGTCAACGAACATCCCATCTTTGAACCAGTAGAGCGGCGTGTGTCTAAAAGGGAGGATCTTGCCGTGAACAGCGTTGTGGTGAGGTACACAGCTTCTGATCCAGACTTTGCGTTCAAACAAAGGGTCAGGTAGAAAATCCTCCAACTTGAAGAGTCACTGCATAAATTACCTTTCATTTATGCTGTACTTCTGAACCAAGTTTGTTTTCCCACTGGTAATTAATCAGGCAGGAAACATTACTATAGATGGATGTGTTTTTGTTTTGTCATACTGCTTATAAAGTCTGGCTTTGTCTTATCATTTATATACATTTATATACAGCTTTATATACATTTTTGTTCTTGATGTCCAGGTATAAAATACTCAATGACCCAGCTGACTGGCTTGGCATTGATCATGAGACTGGTGTGATAACAGTGAGAAACCAGATGGACAGAGAATCCAGCTTTGTTAAGGAAGACAAATACACAGCTCTGATTGGTGCTTATGATGATGGTGGGTGTGACCGTTAACGGTCTTCATGGTTTTGGAGGAACTCTTCATAAATCATGGTGGAAGTTAAAAGGAATTTAATTTAATGGTTTGAGCTAAATTTTAATTCAGTTCAAATTCAAAAATTAGAGAGATGTTGGAGTTGGGATATAAACCCTGCAGCCTTGACTCAGTAAAACACATCACACTGTATTACCTATTCCCTTTCCGAGTCCTTGTCAGGGCTTGAAGCTCATCCACTTCGGCCTCCTTTTCAACTCCTCTGGGATTTCTG